ACCGCTGTGAGTCGCCTTCGGGCTTGAGATACAGCGGTATATAAGCAAAGTAAATAAATAAATAAATAAAGTTGAAGTACTTTGGCCACATAATGAGGAGACAGCAAAGCCTAGAGAAGACAATTATCCTGGGGTAAGTGGAAGGTAAAAGGAAGAGGGGCAGACCAAGGGCAAGATGGATGGATGGATGGTATCTTTGAAGTGACTGGACTGACCTTGAAGGAGCTGGGGGTGGTGACGGCTGACAGGGAGCTCTGGCGTGGGCTGGTCCATGAGGTCACGAAGAGTCGGAGACAACTGAATGAATGAACAACAAAAGTGTGGTGAAGTGTAACTGGACTGGGAATTAAGAGATTTTATCTCTCAGGCTAACATGTTTCACAATTTGTGAGGATAAAGTGAAGAGGAGGAGAGTTATATTGGGTGTTTTGGCATCACTGATGAAAAAGCAGGATACAAACACACAAATAAATAAGTGCTTTCTTTTCTGTAAAGTCATAAACGAACCCGATCTTCTGGCTGTGCTCCTTCAATACCCCATGAATGTATAGCTCCTTCTGTACATTCAGGCACAGGCTCAAATCCAGCGCCAACTCCACCAACAGGGCGAGATTTGCAATAGCGACAACAGTTGCTTTGTGACATCAGAATTGGAACCACTGGAAAAAACCCCAAAAGTATTCCATCTTAAATAGTAAGCTGAATATTTGTCTGTGAATATGAACAAAAGACACTAATTTCTCAGAAAATGGCAAGTTGTAAATCTCAGAAACTTGAAATTAAAGACTTTTGGCACGTATGCCTTTAGATTTAGTTGACCATCTGTTTTAGTTAGTTCCCTGTTATAAAAATCATGTTACAAAGACATGTATAATTCTTGTTTGCTAAGGCAAGATTTCTTGTTCCTATGTATCTTAGGGCAACCTTATCTTAATTTCCTCAAAGGAGTTTTATACCATTGCTTTCCGCTAAGGCTGAGAGATTGTGACTTGCCAAAGGTCACCCAAAGAGTTTTCATGGCTGAGACCTAGTCCAACACCCAAACTCTATACTATGCTAGCAAATTTCAAGGCAAGATACATAACATTAAATATAGAGTTGCAAATTGGGACTACATTGCCTAGAATACCTCAGGAAACATAGGTACTGGTCATGTTAGAGATGAACTTAGGGAACTGTAGTCCAAAATATTACTTTGCCAAGTGTTGATCTGTTGCTTGCCTACTTAAATTTCAGTTCAAATTTCAATAATGTTGATATTCAGTCTAACTCTGTCTCTGGTACTAAAGGTGCTTTGATAGTAGCTGAGCATATATAAGTGCACATGGATAGGATTACTAATGTTTCAATCTTAATCTGTTCTGAAATAACTATTTATTTAATGAATGCTGTAGGTTATATATCAGAGGAAGGAACTAGCAAAACCACTTCTGAGTATTTGTCTAAGAAAGCTGTGTAAAATTCATGGGGTTGCTATAACAGGCAACTTGTAATCACATAGGTGTGCAAAAGTAAAACTTGGCTGATACATAATATCAAACACAGAGTTACAAACTGGGACTACAATTTCTAGAATTCCCCAAGAAACACAGTTATGTCTCTACCAAATTAAACAAAAACGTTAATGTTGTAGCAAATGGTTAAATACAATCAAATTAACAAAACAACAACAGTAAAAGTACTTTTATCTTAATGGCATACTTACGCACAAATATTAATCCTCCAAGAAACATCAGAAAAATGGCAGCAGGACTAAGTGCAAATCCTCCGCCTTCTCTTTCTACACCTACTCCAGGAGCATAAGTATCACCATTGTCATAACCTCCATCAGTGATTCTGCCACTATCAATGTCACCATCACCACCTGCACCATCATAATAATCACCAGCACCACCACCACCACCACCCCATCCACCACCACCTGTTCCACCACCTCCAGCTCCACCACCTCCAGCTCCCCCACCTCCACCCATACCACCACCTCCAGCTCCACCACCTCCACCCATGCCACCACCTCCAGCTCCACCACCTCCAGCTCCACCACCTCCAGTCATACCACCACCTCCAGCTCCACCACCTCCAGTCATACCACCACCTCCAGCTCCTCCACCTCCAGTCATACCGCCACCTCCAGCTCCACCACCTCCACCCATACCACCACCAGCAGCTCCACCACCTCCACCCATACCACCACCACCAGCTCCACCACCTCCACCTGCAGCTCCACCACCAACAATGGTAACTCTGATTCTCTGAGTAGCACCATTGATACACATTGCATTGCGATCACAATGGCAAGCTTGCAAAGGAACCACCAGTGGCCTTTCACAGCTTCTGCCACTGTTGTCATACACTTTAACTTGGACTTCGTGAATGAAAAACCCTACATCATTGCTGAACAGTGCTGCAGAGGTATCTGTGGGTGTTTTTTTGTGAGGGAAGAGAAAAACAGAAAAAAATATTAAGAATTCAGCTTTAAAATCTCTTTGGTCAGATATTTTATACTGTTAATAAAAATAACATATTGTTGCTCAGGAAAGCTCAAGAAAACCAGCAGCACAAGGCAATCTGTGATAAAATGATCCACTATGATGAATACTATGTCCAACATGGATGGTTCATCATTTGAAATAAACTGGATTGGCAGCCATCAAGGGCTTGAGGATTATACCATTTTAATGGTTGTTCTTCACACTTCCTTGAAACTAGGGGTGATATCTGGTTAATGTTTTTAGATATCTGTGCTTTTTTTGGAGGCACAGAAAATCAAACTTCTTGGAGGCATAGTTCTCCATTTTGATTTTTAATTTTTTGACAACTCAATTGAGGAAGGAAGAAAAACTCTGTGCCATATGAGGACATAGGGATACTCAGTTCCCATCCCTGCAATAAGGTAATGTTTTCTGGTTTATGATCTGAAACACATTTCACTTGTGTTGCTGATTTCTGTCTTCACTTTCTGTTGCTCTTTTAAAGCTAAAACATTATAAATGTCTATAAGAACTGGTTCTTAGGATTAAACTACATATATGCTCTATAAATTACATAAGCTTTACTTTCTCGGTAAGCATGCAGATGTCAGATGCGGATTGAATGAAAACAGAGTAGTTTAAACTTCTCACTAGGTGGATATTCTTTCTAAATGACCCCTACCTGCATCTACATGGATATTAAACTTCATTGTCTAACAGAATTTTTTAAAATTTTCATAACAAGGAATTCTTATCTGTCTCTTGGACACAAAGTGCATAAATTTCTTTGTTCCCTCTGGAGTGGAGGGTGAACAAAAACAATGTAGCATTGGAACTCATCTATGGAAACCATTGCCAGGTTCTGTAGAGGAGTGACATCAGTAGGCAAAGCTGAGACGGAGCAGAGGAAATGGAAGTTTCACCACCTGTACTACATTCACATATTCTTGTATACATCAGTGGGGTGCTCAGTTATGTGAAAGGAGTCTTATAAATGGACTAACAAATGTTGGGGGTTGTGCTAGGAGCCAGAGCAAACTTTTTAAGTTTCTCAAATGTTGAGCAATATGGGTAAAAGGTGATAACAGCATGCCACTCCACTCACCATTCATTACTCTGATAGTCCATGAACTTCCAGGAGACTGAGCCACTATGGTGAATTTAAAAGGTGGTCCATATGGATGGTCATCTAGATCTTTAGCTGTGATCACTACTGATGGATTGTCCAGACACACTTTTCTGATCTCATCAGTCACAATTGGGCAGTTATCATTGACATCTTGAATAGTGAGCACAATGGTTCCAGTGGCTGTTTTGTAAGGAACATCTGTAATAGATTGATGAGTGTAAGGGAGACTATATCAAAGGAATCTTGCTGCAGAGTTAACAGACAATAATATCCTGACAGTAAACAAATCATCTAGGAAATCTTAAAAGTATCAAGGGAGAAAAAAATGAATCAAGGGTTTGGTTTTTTTAAGAAGCCAAGTGATAAGTAACTGTCCAAAGACTGAATGATTGACCAATAAAAAATCTATATACACTCCTTTTCATTTCTCTCTCAACTTGAAATATAGATTAAAGATACTATCTTTACATATCAAGATCTGAAAGCAATGTAAAAAACTGATTAGAAAAGCACATTGGCCTAGTGAGAGACTTACATGTGGCCAGAGTAAAGGTAAAGGTTTCTCCTTGACATTAAGTCTAGTCGGGTCCCTCTCTGGAGGGTGGTGCTCATCTCTATTTCTACGCTGAAGAGCTGGTGTTGTCTGTAGACATCTCCAAGGCCATGTGGCTGGCATGACTGCATGGAGCACCGTTACCTTCCCACCATAGTGATACCTATTGATCTACTCACATTTGCATGTTTTCAAACTGCTAGGTTGGCAGAAGCTGGGGCTAACAGCGAGAGCTCACCCTGCTCCCTGGATTCGAACAGTCGACTTTTTGGTCCACAAGATCAGCAGCTCAGTGGTTTAACCTACTGTGCCACAAGAGACTCCCTACATGTGGCCAAACTATTTCAAAAAGTCAACAACAATTTGCTTCTCCATTTATTTGAGCACAGTGAGTATCTCTCTGAGTATAGATTTTACTCCTGGACTGAAAAATAGGTAGGTTGTGCTACTACCTACTTTTTTCAGTTTTAAGCAGGCAGCTGGGAATTTTGCAAGATGAGAAACTAAAGAAGTGAGACATTTCAGAAAATAGGATGAGAGCAATTAATTTCTATATTTGTCGTCCACTGTGGTTATGCTGGATCCCACAGTTGCACAATGAAATAGTCCTTCCGCCCTTCCTAGTCATCATACCAGTAGTGTGAGAAAAAGTTGTCTCTATATATACTTGCAAAAACAACATCATTCTTGAGTTTAAAACCTTAAGGAAAACTGGAAAAAAGAAAGAGCCATTTTCTTACCTTTACAAATAGCAAGTACCTCTGCTCTGTATGCCCCATTCATTACATAGATTGACTCTCGATCTATCACTTTGCTAAATGTGATTTCAGCAGTTGTTGGGTTAATGTTAAACCAGGCAGCTGGATCATGCCCCATCTCATAGCTGGTCAACAGAAATGTTTAGAATTAGATATAAATACTAACAAATTAAGCATCGCCATGTTGTTATTGCAGACAGACCAATTAAAATTAAATCATTTTAATTTAAGAAGACAGTCTTCGAAATGCTTCTGTTTTCAGAAGATGCAGTAAAAACAAAATTTAGTGAGAAATATACCAACATGTGATGATTATTTTATTAATATGTAACTACTATTTTATTGCTTGGATAATATCTTACAGCTTTTTAATACATTATGGAGAAAAAGAGGTGGTAAATAAGTGTGAACTTTCTGGTTTGTACTCTGGTTTGTGCTATTCTAATACATACAGAAAGATTTGTGGGAGAATGGATAGATTAAATAATATGACTCTGGGAATCTGAATTGGTACAACCTTGAATACTAGCATCTCATTTAATTCATTTAAATATGTTAGTGTAAACTTCTTATAATTGATAACTAAAAGACAGAGTTGATTTACTATCAACTGACAAAAGAGGCACCAGCCATCTTTGGACAGATATACATAAATTCCAGCTTGAGTTGGGAAATAGTGGGGAAACTGGAGCATGTTTGGTGCTCTTTTTGAACCCAGAACAGACAATGGAGCACACTGTAAATCTAAACAAGCAAAACGGTGGCACAAAGATCTCAGTAGTGACTGAGGTGTCATGTGAAGCAAAGATAGTCGAAGGTTGAGCCGCCACTTTTCATTCCACAGGAAAGTGGGGAAGTAGAAGTATTGTCTCCTTTGTTTCTTACAATAAGAAGGAACATTTTGTTTGTTGGCTTGGAGTTGTGTGTTAAATTGTGGGCAGGTACAATGATTATTTTGGAAGAAGGAGTTTTCTGCACACTATGTGAGCAGCAACAAAGACCAATTGGAAGCTGGCGGAGGAAAGGAGGGATAATGTAATATGTAGACAGGCCCTCAAATTTCTGGGGAAAGGAATCCACTGAAAGAAAATAGAACTCCTAGCTCATTAATGTGCAAGTGAATGATGGGATGATAATAATAATAATAATAATATTAATAATAATAATAAAATGAAATCCAGAATATATATCTCATTTGCTGTGTCATACTGTGTTTTTGTGTCAGTAAAATAAAAAAAAACTGGGGGGCTCGTGGTGGATTTAAACTGACAGAAAGGCAAACATTCAATGCCACAATAACAATTAGTACAAACATAATAAACCAGAATAACCCCACATAAGACAACTTAGACATAACAACTATAACTTAAATAAAACATAATTTATCAAAAATTATAACTAACATAGAACGTGAACATAAAATATCCGAATTAATATACACAGGCATCACAGTGGCTCACAGATGTGTGCATGGATTATATGGACAATGATGTCAAGTGGGCTAATGTGATCTAGCAAGGCCTGAATGCAAGTATGCTTTCTGGTTAGCAGTCTGGTAATAGTCTCTCTTCATCAAATCCTCCTCCTCTCCATATGCTTGTGAGCAAAGATAGGTTTTCAGCTGTTTTTTGAAGTGGGGGGGCAGCTTTATTTCTTAAGGGAGGGAGTTCCTGAGGAGGGGGGGATCACAGAGAAGACCCTCTCTCTCTTTCCCACCAACAGTACCTGAGATGGGGGATGTTGTGTATATCCTGAATGCAATATTGCAAAACATTATGCCAATGAATTACTACTCCCCTGTTTTTTTAAAAAATGCTAGTCTAGTTTTTTAAGACCATTATAAAATTACCAGTTAATTCACACATGTTTGAAGTGTGATCTTCATTCCCGTTTAACATACGGCTAGAGAGATAGTGAGCTATAGCTGATGAGAGATCAAAATAAAACATTTTTTGTAGGAATTTCATTGGATAAACTGGGAAATCCTATGCAATTTACCAGTATCAGCTTGGATATTAGTAGCAAGAGATGGGTGACAATTTTATTTGGGAACAAAGTTTGTTTCCAAAGCTAGCAAACATTTTTAATGAAAAAAATGATCTAAGAGAAAGTGAAACTGGCAATTTCTTTCATTTTCAGCTACTAAAAGTCTGGATAAAATTGCATCCTTGTGTATTCAGCCGTATTTGTCCTGAATTAAGCTTTTCTGTTTTCTTCCTGGCAGATTAATCACATTTCATAACTATATACAGTGTTCCCTCGCCGTTTCGTGGTTCGCTAACTGCAGACTCGCTGTTTTGCGGCTTTTTAAAAAAAAGTTTAAAATACAAGTAGTAAGGGAACACTGTATATTACAGACTTGAGAGCCCCATGCCAGTGGGGAAGCAGGGAGGGAGGGAGAAGGGTGGCTCCAGCAAGGGGAGGGGGAGGGAGGGGGAAAGAGGAGAGGAAGAGAGAGAGAGAGGAGGGGGAGAGGAGTGGGTGGAGCTATACTGTACATATACAGTATAGCATCCCTACATCACAGTTTTTCACTTATTGTGGGGGTTCCTGGAATGTAACCCCCATGATAGGTGAGGGAACACTGTAGACATAAAATAAATCATGGTTTTTTCAATGGCATAACTATGAAAATGGCCAATGGAAATGGCTGAACATTTTGTTTTGATGTGGTTTTTATTTAAAAAATCCCAAAACATGTAAATTTCTTATTAATGGGGAAACAAGTTTTTTTAAAAAAAAAGAATGGAGTGTGGGGCAAAGTGAAACTGAGGAATTAACTGTCTCTTGTACTGATGGAGCTGAAATAATAATAATAATAATAATAATAATAATAATAATACCATGTGCCTGTGGTGGGATTACAAGCCTAAAAATGTTACATTAAAAATGTTAAAAATAAACATGTCAAACTACTCTGAGACTTCCGAATTCAGACTGACAGAGTTTTGGAGCACAATACTCCTGACCTCACGATTGTGTTAAAAAACAAGGAATGGATCGTTGATGTTGCAATCCAAGGCGACAGCAGGATTGAAGAGAAACAACTGGAAAAGCTGACACAATGCAAGGATTTAAAGACTGAACTGCAAAGACTCTGGCACAAGCCAGTAAAGGTGGTCCCAATGTTAATCAGCACCCTGGGTGCAGTGCCTAAAGACCTTGGCCTACACTTAAACACAATTGATGCTGACAAAATTACCATCTATCAGCTGCAAAAGGCCACCCTACTGGGATCTGCATGCATTATTCGCTGATACATCACACAGTCCTAGATACTTGGGAAGTGTCAGACGTGTGATCCAATAGAACAGCCAGCATAGTGACCTTGTTTGCTGTGTGCTAATCTTGTTGTGTTTCAAATAGTAATAATAATAATAATAATAATAATAATAATAATAATAAACAACTTTATTTGTACCCCATCCCCATCTCCTCGAAGGGACTTGGGGTGGTTCACAGAAGCACTCAAGGTGCAACACACAAAATACAATAAGTGTCTAAAACAATATCACAATAACAATAACAGTAACAAACAGCATAAAACCAAAAACCCTACTAGTTAAAATCAATAAAATGCAACAGTAGCAGCAGATATAAAACAAATTGCAATCAACATCAGTCTGAAAGTGCAAGAAAAAATAATCAACTGAGTCCTCATTATAGTCAAGTCTTAAACGAGGTCAAAGACTATTTAAAGAGTTAAGTCTTCACATTGGTTCAAAACACTTGAAGAGTGGGGGCTAATCTAATCTCTTTGGGGAGGGCATTCCAAAGCTGGGGGGCCAACTCTGAAAAGGCCTTATCTCTCATCCTCACCCGCATGAGTTGGAGGTGGGACAGAGAGGAGGACCTCCCCGGCAGATCTCAGGACCTGAAACGGTTCATAGAAGGAGATGCGGTCTCGAAGATGGGCTGGACCTGAAGCATATGGGACTTTGAATTGAGTCTGAAAATGTGTCGGCAGCCAGTGGAGCTGTTTTAATAGGGGTGTCATATGCGCCCTAAAATTGGCCCAAATTAGTAATCTTGCAGCCAATCTTTGCTCTAGTTGCTGCTTCCGGGCTGTCTTTGAAGGCAGCCCCAAGTAGAGTGCATTACAGTAGTCCAATCTAGATGCAACTAAGGCATGGACCACCATGGCCAAGTCACACTTTTTGTGGTACGGTCACAGTTGTAATAAGGATTACAACTGAGGTAGTTAGTTATGGGAACATCCCTTAATTCTCTCCAGTGCTATTCAAAGATAATTTGATGAGTTACAAAACCGTGGTGGATTTCTGAAATATTGCAGAGGTTTAGGCAGTCTTGAGAATAGACTTGTCATTATAGTCTCTCTCTCTCTCTCTCTCTCTCTCTCTATATATATATATATATATATATAAGCAGTCAAAGAAGCCCTGAAATTATCTTAATCTGTTTTTTTTGAAAAACTGATTGAAACAACAAACAAACAAGGAAGCCACACATTACATTCTGTTCCGTTTCTCCTAAGCACTTTGCTCTGCTTTAATTTCACATTGGATGAGTCTTAGTTGCAAGGATTTCTTACCGTACATTTGTGGCTATCCTTCCAGTATCCTGATCAATGGCTTCAAATTTTCCAACGGTGTAAGTAAGTATATTTTCACTTGTTAAGCCTTCAGATGCAGAAACAGTAATTGTAGTTGGATTAAAACTTGGTCCTTCTATTATATTGCTTACTTGTACTATAATTGGGGTACCATGAGCTTGATACCGAGAAGCCACTGAATAGTGGAAAGGTGCTATATTCCGTACTCCAATGCTCAGAGGTATGCTCGAAAATTGTTCGTAATCAATTTCCTAAAAGAAATAAATAAAATCAAGTAAATTGGGAAGCTGTATCCATTTCTTCTGAAAGATTGATGAACCAATAAAAGAACCCATGATTCAGTGGGTAAAAAAATATAGGCTGAGCAATAAGTCTAGAAGAATGGGAAGAACGAGGACACATTGTGGTGAATCCGGTGGTGGCCAGTGGGGGACAGGGGGAACCTGTTGATTCAGTGGGTTTACTCTTAGTTGGGAGCAACAATTGGATGTAGGAATTATTGGAAGAGTTACTTTTTGAACAGTTTCAAAATTGCATAAGAAGAGAAGCTGGAAAAGATTAAGGATCTGGCAAGGCACTTCTTGGCAGAGTCAACCTTTTTCATAACTGGAAGGTGAAGAGAGAGGAAGGCCAGTCAGAGTTAAATGTTGGACCATCTTAGAGACAGTTGAACATTATACAAGAAAGAGACAATAAGAAGAAATAAAGATTCAAGAGCCTCAGTTTGGCCAGAACTGTATTTATTTCTCAAAGACTTTACCTCTCCTCATAAAGACTTTGCAGTGAGACTCAGGAGAAGAGAAAGTATAAAATTCTTGTCAGTTAATAAATTCTTGTTTGATTAAACTATATAGTCTCCAATCTGTTCCCTGCACAGCCAGTTCGCCTTCCAAGTAGTTAGGATAGCATGGGGGCAGAACAGTAGTTATTTTCACAGGTTATGCCATTACAAAAGAAATAGAATGTTCTAGCTCTGTTGGATTTAAAGTGCATGTGTGTTGTGTGTGTGTTTGTGTGGACTGGTGATGGTTTCTGAGCCACTCGCTGCAGGTCCTGGGAGTGCTTCCAGGGAAGAAAGAAACAAGGGGAACAAATTTAGTCGCTTGGCCACTGGGAAAATTAGTCATTCCCTTGCATCAGATACACTGAGAAGCATTGCCCTATGTGTACCCATTCTACCCTCAGATTTGTCCCTCTTCTATCCATGGAGGGTTGACTCTGAGTTAGAGATCCCCATGAGTCAAAGACACAGGGGTTCAACTAATGCAAACAGTATGGAGGAATGTCAGAGTCTTTTTATCTCCATGGTTAGAATAGTATGAAAATGATGGTGCAGCTTAGTTGTATATACTCATGGAGAGATACACATATGTACTAAATGTGTAGGTATCACTTGCCTTGCCTGGAACTGATGAATTGCTTCAACAGCAAAATAGCTACTATTTCTTACTTCTATAACAATGCTCCAGTTAAAAGTTGGGGCTGTCTCATCACACACTGTCAGGGTACAGGTCCAGAAAGTATGGTTCCAAAATCATAACCATTATTCTGAGCCCCTTCAATTTAATGTCTTCTGTTAGCTCTTAGCTGCATGAATTTTCAGCTTTTAAAAAACATCTTGGTGCAAACAATTGTGTAAAGTATTTCTCACATCTGGACAATGCAGCAAAGTAGAAAAATCATGACTCTGTGTGTACACATAAACAAGTGATCAGATTGGGACTTTTCAGCGGAAGGGAGATATTTGAAATGCATACCTTTATCACTCTCAAGATACCCTGATTAGTTGCTTGGTCAAGTACTATTTCAAAGTTGTTGTTTTCATTTCCAGAGATAAAGAAAAATTCTGCAAACCAATTATCTGTCATTGCTAGATCTGCATCTTCAACTTGTATCCTCAGCAGATCTTGACTGAGGGAATTTTCTATGATTGTTACAGAATACTAGAAAGGAAAGAAAGAAGTGATTGAAACTCAAGGCACCTTTAAGCTAATTTTACATAGCATTTCCATCTTGACTTTAAACTCTCTATTGTACACAGAGGATGCTCTACCCATCTCATCCAGCACTCATATGGCTAAAACATGGGCATTTTCAGTTGCCAGAATGTATTAGTCAGCATAGCTAGTAACCACTGTAAGTTCTACATAAAGATACACCCCCAAGGCAGGAACAAGTACTTCCTACAAAAGGTAAACAATATATTGAATTACTAGGATGACCGTTTGAAGCAGAGGGTAAAAATTATTCAGAAAGCAAAATAAAAGCTTTTCAGAAGCAGAACCAACCTGAGGATGGTTTTTCCTTGAAACACAATGAGGAAGAGTGTTTATTAAAATAATCTGAAGAAAATTTTTAAAAATAATAAATGTAACACATCCACACATAATCAATCCCCAGCATGTTATGCTGATCTCACTCACCAACCATTCACTTGCGTGTGCCTTTCAATTTCTTGTCCTATTTACTGTGCTTGTGAAATAATTAATAATGACCCTAAATTTGCTGAAGTACAGTGGACTCTTGGTATCCACTGTAGATACCAAAACACAGATGCTTAAGTTCAATTAAATGCATTTGAGATCATGAACAGAGTAGGGAATTGTGAATTCATAGGATGATTTGGGCAGTCAAGGTGTTTGCAGAGGCAGATGGGTGTTTCTGCAGCCTTCCCAAGCAAGTGGGAGGGAAATTACAAGACAGGATGTTCTTCCACATTGGAATATAATACTCCTTACATATAGGAAACCATCTATCATGGAGAAGGTTTGCAATCTAGATGTTTTAGGTTTTGAAATCTGCATAGCAGGGGTGGAAAAACATGCTTCTCTTGATACTATAATCTAACAATATTTGGAGGATCACACATTCCCTATAACTTGTGGACATACTTTTCATTGAACAGAAGACCACCACCCTCTACTACAAGGAAACAATGTACTGAAATGCAGGCATGAATGAAGAAACAACTACCCATTGCAAGAATATAGAGGGAAGGTTATACAGCTCAATAGAAAAGAGCAAACATGAAGTCCCTAGGCCCTGGAATTTCCAGTTAAAGAAATGTCAGATGGTCAAAACTTGAAGGTACTTCTGCCTATGATTTCAAACTGGTTATGCTAATCAGACAAATTCATTGGGCTAGCTCATGTGTCAAACTGAAGGCCTGTTAGCCAAATCCAGAGCACCGTGTCATTTATGTGTCCCCCAAATGCCGTACTACAGCTCCTGTATTCTTCATCATTAGATATAATGACTAGTTCTGATGGGAGTTGTGATACAGTAACATCTGGAAGGCTGCCATTTGTTCTGTTTGAATGTAGATACAGGAGTTGTGGATATGATGTCTGATGTTAAAATGTCATTTAACCTTTCCTTAACCTCAGAACCAGAAGTACTGATCTCTTGCTATGGCTATTATCCTCAATCTGCATGGCAGATAATCAAAAGTGATGTAAGTTTCTGTTCAATAACATCTGGGAACCCAAACTGAGTAAAAACTAAAGATCCCCAACTACTATATTAAAAAATAGTTGGTCCTATGTATTCACAGATTCTCCATCTATGGATTCGACAGGATTTTGAACACAACCATAAGGCTGGTGTGGCCCTCAAATGAAAATGAGTTTGATTTCCCTGGGTAAGATGGACTGATAGTGGCTTTTTATATTCACACCATGTATATATTCTCACATCATCAAAAGGTCACTTTATACACCCAGGTCCATATGTTCAATAGGGAGCTGAAGCCAATAATTTCTCCTTTAAAAGCAAGTTTTTAATTTGTATTTATGTATTTATTTTCTGAATGGAAGAAATCATATGGTTTCAAAACACCTGGCTATCTCAGTAACACAGTACTGCTTTAGGTAAACATTTAAAAATGCTTTAGCAGTTGGACTAAAAACTGTTGTCAGTCTGGATTGAGTAGTCATTTAAGCCACTGGATTTTCATATATATTGACTTACTATTCAACAATTAATACAACAGCTCTATTTTAGTTGAGACCAGCCAACAAGACCCCAACCATTAATGCACAAAGAAATCCTGAGATGACAAAGATTTCTATCAATTTCAGTTTACAGAAAGTGATCAAGCAGTCTTCAGCTTGACAGTTTTAATTCACGTATCACAGACCATACTACATTGTTAAACTGTGATGCAGAGAAATTAAAACAAAATACTTATTTATCTATTTATTACCATCATCATTACTATTACACTGGAAGAAAACAGCAAAATTATGTGATCTGAAAGCACAGGAAGCTTATATCTGTATATCATTAAAAAGCTCCTTTACAAATTCCACCTCCACTCAATCATGTGTCCCCAGAAAACTATTATAAATAGTGAAATTATATAAAGTGATGCTGCTTTGTTTTTGAAATCTTACCGAACTCTGGGAAAGAACTGGAAAGTTATCATTTACATCTTCTACAGAAACTTGACATAAACATTCGGATGATATTCCATCTGGACCTCCATCCCTGTCTGCAGCTTGCACAACCAGAGAATATTGACCAGATTCCTAAATTAGGAGAAGGGAATGGAAGGGAAAGGAAGGAAGGAAGGGTAATTAATAAATAAAATATTTATGAAACATAGAGTTTTATCACATCATGAAGAAAGCTTGAGGTGGTACATTCACAAATATCTACATTTAATTTTTCTTCTAGTTTCACTGAAATAAGTTTTCAAATTCTTCACAATGGAAGCATTTGCCACTGGAGGTTCCTCAGGAATCGTACTTATCAAGGGTGGGTCCCCTCTCCAGTATTCAGACAACACTCCTCCTCTCAGAGCGTTTTTGTGAATTTCTGGTACTAACCACAACTGGGAAGATTCCCCCCTGTGTCCTAAGTGTTTTGAGTACAGACTAGGGTAAAACCATATGCCTGCACCCACTGTCTTGATTCCTCCCACAGAGGTTTTAGGCACTCCCACTGATCATGTTTTGAGTGATGCCACAGAGGTTTTACAGTATCCTTTGTTCCTTAACTATATTTCTGGTTGCTGGCTTGAAATGTTTTGCCAAGTTTTTATCTTTGTTTGTGGTTTTTATACATTATAATTCTATTCTCAATTTGCTTCTGACACAATAAATAAATAAATAAGCTCAAAAAGTTCTCCTTTCCCTTTCTTTTTATTTTTCTTAAAGTGGTATCTTTTTACAACTGTGATAATATAATAAAACCAGTTAATAAACTAACAAATAATTAATTTAAAACTGAAGCTAAAAATAACATATGATATGGGAGAGGAGTGTATAGTGGAGTTGCAGAATTCATAGACAGGATGACAAGCAATCAGAACAAACAAGGGCTGAACCTATATTTAGGGCATGACTAGATGTGAGTGGAAACAACTTTTAAAAGATATAAAAGCCTGACAGAGAATGCCCCAACCATTACTGAAACTACTGGAAAACCTGGAGGTGTATTGTGGCTGTATTTATAACCATTTGTTCCATCCCTCTTCCATTCCACTTGAACACTGTGAAAGCCACCCACTGCATGGCTACCTGCCTCCTCCCAGTAGACTTAAAGAAAAGTTTCATGAGAACCACCACTCCTCTAAATGTTCCTCAAGGAATAGCAAGAATATCCCAGTGGACTGCAAAATCAGGCAATTACAACTGGATGGCCCCCTACAAGTGTCTTTCTCCAGGGGCAAATCAAGAATGGGCGACTTGGAAGTCCCAGAACAGACTCTGAAGTGGAGTTGGCTGATCAAAAGACAATGTGGCAAAATGTCACTACCTAGAAGAATCCTCCACCTTGGACAACTGTGAAGCAGAACAAACAACTCAGCATCTGTATGCTTGCCCACAATACGCTGCCTCATGCACAGAGGTAGAACTCTTTAAAGATACAGGCAATGCAGACACTGTTGCCTGTTTTCGGGCTAAAACTATTTAGCTGCTTGTGATCCCTATAAATAAATGTGACAAATAAATAAATAAATATAAGTAAATCCCTCTTCTTTTCATTCTTTCTGGACATATTTTTCTCTCTTTTAATGACTATGCAATTGTTACTTATTTGGAATTAATAAAAATCTTTCCTAATTTTTTTGAGAGAACCTTCTCAAAATATGGATTTTTAAATAAATTGCTCTGCTAAAATTATTTCTAAATACCTCTCTGTCAAGGATATTTGCAATGTGAAGTTCTCCATTTGCAGCATTCAAAATAAACTTTGAGGGACCTCCAGGAGTCTGACTCAAAATCTTGTAGGCAATTTTGGAATTAAGGTTATTTGGCTCATCAGCATCTGTAGCTGTTATTTTCATCACCAATGTATCTGGAAAGATGGAAAAGAGCATTCAAACCAACATTCAGAGCTTCACTATGACAAAGGTGAAAAAATGAATTCTATCTCCAGGAGATAATATATTTTTAATATTGGTCAGTGCTATGAAATCATGGGAGTGGAACCAGCACTGTTTCGCAAAGAAGACTTTTTAAACCTCATGATTCCAGAACATTGAGCCATGGCACTCAAGTAGCATCAAACTTCATTCATTCCACAGTATAAGTATACTCTAAGTTTGGTACTTACTATCCATGCTGCTCTCTACTATTGACCCTGAAAACGTGGCCTGCGTAAATACTGGTGGATTGTCATTGATATCCAGAACCCGAACTCGAAGCTCAAGTGGGGTTTCCACTGATTGACCAGTTATAGGATTTATAGCATGACAATTAATCTAGACAAAGAGCATAAAAAACATTCAAAAGATCATTCAAATGCCAAAAAACCACAATTTATAAATGCTGCAGCAGCTATGATTACTATGATTTTTTAAAAAAGGTTTCTTATATTTTCTCTCTAATTTAAGGCAGCTAAAAGTGAGAAATATTTATAAGAACCATAGAAAAAATCAGTAGAAGCAAAACAATAGAAGAAATAATGGACATCTCAGTAATAATCCATTGTACTATATGGTATTGGTTTATTTGCATTGCTAGTTCCATAAACTTGGATAAAGTGAAAATGGATGTAGATAACTGCATACAAGAAGTTTAAAAGACACTTAAATTGTGGATAGAATTAAATACCATTAAACTTATTCAAAAAGCAGAATCAAAAAATTATACAGCACATTAAAGATTCAAATCATTTTACTGAGCTTAATAACAATAGCATGGTGGGGGAATAACACTATAGTGAAATGCTAACAAAGTACAGTTTCAGAGTGTGGCAGTAGCCAGAAGAAAGTTGCTTTCCTTGCATCCTAACAAGATGTGAGAAGAAGCGTGCATGTAAACTATACAATTCTCATGATCCCATAACACCACCTAGAGTGATGTCAAACTACATTAATCCTATGTAAACTCAGAGCGGGTGTAGATGCCTGCTCTGAGAATCACAGAATCATAGAATAATAGTGCTGGAAGAGACCACATGGGCCATCTAGTCCAACCCCCTGACATACAGGAAAAGCATAATCAAAGTATCTATGACAGATAGCCATCCAGCCTCTGTTTAAAAGTTTGTAAGAAAGGCACTTCCACCACACCTTGAGGCAGATAGTTCCATTGCTGATCAGCTCGCATGGTCAGGAAGTTCTTCCTAATGTTCAGGTGGAATCTCCTTTCTTGTAATTTGAACCCATTGCTCTGAGTCCTCATTTCAAGGGCAGCAGAACACAAACCTGCTTCCTCTTCCTTGTCACACCCTTTCACATATTTATACATGGCTGTCATGTCTCCTCTCAAACTTCTCTTCTTCAGGTTAAACATACCCAGTTCTTTAAGATACTTCTCATAGGGCATGGTCTCCAGATCTTTGATCACTTTAGTTGCCCTCCTCTGAACACCTTCCAGTTTGTCAATATCTTTTTAAAACTGTGATGCCCATAATTGCACACAGTATTCCCGGTGAGGTCTAACAAAGGCACCATGAATTCCCTCGATCTAGACACTATATTCCTTTGATGCAGCCTGATCCTGTCCTCTGAAGTATTAGCGATCCCTTCTAATTTGGTGTCATCTGCAAACTTAATAAGCATGCTCTCTTAATCTCCGTCCAAGCAATTAATAAAGCTGTTGAACAGTACTGGGCCCTGGACCGAATCCACTAGTCACTTCTTTCCAGGATGAAGTGGAACCGTTGGTGGAACCCTTTGGGTTCAGTCTGTTAATCAATTACAGATCCAAAGATCTTCACTCTAGATCTGGAAGTCCAGCAGGCTTTTATGGGAGAATATTGTCTTTTATTTAGCCCATATTCAAGTTATGCAGGGAATATATGCCATAATCAGAACTTTGGACTATGCTTGAAATAGAATAGCATTCTCCACCACACTTGAGGGAATGGGCTAACTTAGGAAGGCTAGTAGTCACAACTCTTTCTTCAAGGACTGCTGTAGAATTCATAAGGAATTCATGTGTGCAGGTGCCAGGTTGAAAATAGGAGAGGACCCCTATACTTTTAATGCTCATGTAGAAGAAGGAATTTTCTCAGGTGTTGTTTATCATGGGTTGGAGGAATGTCATTCACAAGGGGAGATATGGCAAGGCTCCCCAGGGAAGTAATTACAGAACATGTATGAAGATGCTCATAGGACTTTCTTTCATAGGACATGTGCCAAACATGCATTAGATGCTGAAGACCCTCTGTATAACAGTTGATCTGAATAAGTGAGCAACTCTAAATGAACAGAAAGGTCTTTCAGATAGTCTAGTCCTAAACTGTAAAAGGAAATAACAATGTATTTTGCTCATATTTAATAACACTTACAGTAAATATTGGATTTGCCTCCCGATCTACTATTTTTGTTATGTTAATTTCACCCGTCTTTTGATTGATGACAAAAACTCCAAAGGGATGCTGATCAATCCCTACTCCAGATATTCGGTATATAATTGGTTGTGTTTCTTCACAATCTGATCGGATCTGCAACATGAAACAAAGGAGTTTTCTTTCAGATTCATATACTTTTCACTGCCTTGAATAAGTGCTTAGTGATTCTTGAGCAACATTTCATTTCCAACAGTCTTTAGAGTTTAATCAATTGAAAACAATAGAGACAGGTTGAGTTTCAAAAAGTTATGTTTGTGGACTTCCCAATGTTCATTTTTAACTTCCCAACCATAGCTATTAATGTCAAGATCATTAATGTAAGCTTGATAATCTTTTCTTAGCATTCATTTTATGAATCTTTAGTTTTCTGCCTCAGATATTAATGCGAAAACTACTATCAAAATTTCCAAAAGTTTGTCAGATTTTTAAGGTTCCCACTTCGATCTATTAGAGTTTATTACTTAGCCAATATGTGGCATGCTGTTAGTAATTTCTTCAATTATTGCTTGCAAATCTGATACAAGATATTACAATACACTTAAAACTTACTCTGGCAATTGGATTTCTCTTTGAATTATCTTCTTCTTCTCTACAGGCTGCCGCAAATTTAATCCATTCTCGTTTCTGTCTCCGATAGGTTTTCAATTTCTCCACACCATTTTTATCCCATTCTTTCACCTTGAACAAAAGTAAACTGGCATTACCAGCAATAGCTGAATGTCCTAATAAGCAATTGTTCTTAATCTTTTATGCTATATATGTATGTAGCTGTCATTATTGCCTATTCTTCTTGGAGCCTCTACCTCATTGTCTAAATTCTTCTAGTGTCACAGGATGTTTATAAGTATTAAAACATTTGAGAAGGAAAGATTAATTCATGGAATGGTATAAACCATTGCTGCAAATTCAATGTAAATACAAAAATAATGTGGTTTTACAATTATGATAGAAGTTCATGTATTTAATTGAAACTAAAGTCCCTGGTATTGGGTAGGCACAACACTGGGGAACTACAGTAGACATATAGATATGACATTGAACACTACAAGAGTTAGGGATGGAGGAGATAGACAAGTTACTTGAGGACCTTGGTTGTGATGCAGGAAACTGTGAAAAAAAGATGGCATATTAGAAAACTGCATAGTAGATAATTGGTGGTGGTGGTGGTGGAGAGGGGGGGGGGGAAAGAATTTCACATATTGTTTCACAAGAAGCAGTTTTCTCTGAAAATGTCCATAGATCTGTAAGTTGTGCCCGCAAACAATTGAAGTTATGTTACCTCAACATAGAAACGACCAATGCAGAATTCCAGAGACACCTACAAGAAGAATAAAATCACAGTTAAATATAATGCTATCTTAAATTCTCCCTTGTATATGTATACAAATAGTTTTAAGTAAAAATGTAGAAGGATAATAAGCTTTCTCATAGCCAAAATATATGAAGATCAAAATCTCACTGCACTAATATACAGTGTAGGACCATTTCTGCTCTTGAGAGTTTTGGAAAATACACTTTTGGGATCACAGGGGCTATGCTGGTTCTGGAAACTGTAGTCTAGAAAAGAGCAACATTTATGAGCTGTATCTTTTCATTACCTGTATTTACTTGAGCATAATGCACCATCAAATGTAAGGTGTGTATTACAAAAGAAGGATTTTTTTTTATCAAAAAGGCTAGTGGGAAGCTTTTTCCTTCCATCTGACCTTTCCACCAGCTTTTTTGTGAGCACTGCTGCCTCTCTTTCCTCTGTCCCCAGATGCAATTCCTTGCCCAACAGCACAGAAAGGTTTAGATGAGCGATTCTAACACGCCATCGAATCTAATATGCACCTCAATTTTAGCAATGCAATTTAGTTAAAAAAAAAGGTAAGCATTAGGCTTGAGTTAATATGATAATTTGTTTATTTATTTATTTATTTATTTATTTTAAAGCCAGCCTTTCTCCCAACATGGGACTTGGAATTCCACAAACCTAGCCTTTTATACTCATTTATTTTGCTCATGCCATAATTTTAATTAACAGATTTTGTGTTGCCACTATTAATAAACTTTGAAGTCACCATTTTCAACTCAATGTTCTCCACCTCTCAGCCTCTCTATAAGCCATATTGGCTAGACAAGATGGCAGTTATAACCAACCTATCCAGAAGGCTTCAGAATCACAAAAGTTTACACACAACATTCTAACTCCATTCATTCGTGGTTGCTGGTTGTGCCATCTGAGCTAGTCTAACAACATTCCTCACCTCTGACTTTCAACATTGTATAGCTTTTAATTTGATCATGAAATCCTGATTATTATTCTGGTATTTAACACAAAACACAAATCACTTTAAAAGTCATATGCAGGAGGACTTGGTGCACGCACAGAGTTCATTGAATGCCTGCTGTTTCTGGCAATTGCAACTACATTAAAATCAGACGTCTGAAAGGAGTATGGGCACTAAAATCTGTTCCAAAGCTCCCAACAACACTGATTTACTATGTATTATTTTGCATAGGAGAAGACAGAAGTTTAGGGAGCAGAATGAATAGCAAATAAAAGCAAAAGAAACAGTTGTGAATGTGTTGGAGAAAATTATGTTACCCTACAAAACTGTAAGCATGTTTTTTTTATTTAAAAAAAAAACCCTATCAGTCCCTCAGAGTTTAGAAAAAATCCTGCTAACATGTTATGTAGAACCTATTTTGGTTTTATGAGAATAGTCATTTCCATTCCTATAAGAGTGGCAATTCTGCAATATTTCCTTTTTATGTGTTTCTGAAAGCTGGCATGTACTACACATTTTACATTCTGTTCCATTATGATGGTAACTGTAATATGATGCAAACTGAATTAGAAGGGGAAAATTAAGGCAGCATATAAAAAATCTTACTCTATCATCTTCAATTGTTTGCCATACATCAAAATTTAGATTTTAAAATCCTTGAGACATACATGCATAACTGATTAAAAATCAGGCAACCATGGCCTATGAAGAGTTTCTTAGGAGTTGGTAACATTAGCTTGGAGAAGAGAAGTCTAGAAGGGGACATGATAGCTATATTAAATATTTGGAAGGATGTTGTATTGAAGATGGGGAAAACTTGTTTTCTACTGTTTTAGCAACTATGACTTGGGGTTATGAGTTTAGAATCACAGTGTTGGACTATAGAAAAAGAGATTCTACATAATAAAGAGGAATAACTTCCTGGCTGTGAAAGATCTTCAACAGCTGTGTACTCTTCCTCAAAGTGTGGAGAAATCTTTTTTTTAAAAAAAACAAACAAACAAAGTCTGCATTGCCGTCTGTTGGTAATACTTTGTTTACTTTTGTATGACAGGGAATTATGGAATGTCCTTTTTGTCTCTTTCAACTCTATGATTCTGTGACTCTTGTTCTCAGTCTTTTTCTTCCAGCTAAGTCTTTTTTGGTATTACAACTGCTTTTGTGCTTGTTGGGGAAGTCTGGATGGTTAACATTTCTAAGTTTTGATCTGTGCGTGTGTGTGATAGGTGGAAGCTGCAAGACTCTGGGAAGTATACAACCTGCCATGTGGATCTCAGATCATCAGATCCCCAATGGGAATACATTCACTCCTGCCATGAATTTCAGTGTAAGAGCACTCTGGGTTAAAGGGAGCAAATTTATTTTTTCACATTGAATTATTTTTGTTTGAGACTTTATCCATTACTATGTCAACAGAGTAAACTGACATGGTACAGGCATCAAATGTACAGCAACACTGAAGAAGGCTGTTCATATTTTCACATGTTTTACTCCACACACAAGACAAAGAAGAACTCTTCTACCTTTGAAGAAGGGTGTGACCTGTATTTATCACACACTTAGTCTCTTCAGTGTCAGTGTGTAGCTTTGCCTCACTATCCCATGGGAAAGTTTTAAGTTCCACCTCCAATTCATTTCAAGTAGCAAGACCGGTTCCTGGGATTACTGTCTAATTTGGCACTTCTTCATTTCCAAAATGGTTTACAGTAATGTTCCCATCACAGCAACTATGTGGCAAGTTTAAATGTTATTCCTTTTTTTAAAAAAAAAAATTAACAAATTGGAAGTGAGGCTGAGAAAGAACTTTTCTAAGAAAATGGAACAACATGGTACTTTACAATTTTATAGCAACACCACACTTTTTATAATGTTATACCAAGTTCTCAAAGGCCAACCACTATGAGTATTTGCCAGATACATGTGATGGCAATAGGATATATAATAGTGTGACAGAAAAGGTTGATGTCTGCTATGGATTGAGATACTCATCTGAACTGTTTCTAAAGTACAGTGCAAATGAATGCTGGATGGGCAATATACAGCTTGCAAAGCCTCATAGTTGCTGAAGGTTTGAAACATGTCCCATCAAACCCAAAATATCCACACCACGGGTAAATAAATGTTGTTCATTTGCATGTCTGGAGACATCCACAGAATGCCAGAATAACTATATGAGCATCTCTCATATGTACGAGAGATAATATAAAATGCATTGATGCTAGATAATGGTGCTTATCTCTGAAAATGAAATATTGCTACCAGTACGGATGAGTACAATTTTGCGATATTTTGGATACAAACCTTAACTAACCTTTCACATACCATGCCAGCTGCAATGTCATTAATGTTGTCATTATTATATCTATTATTTACAGTTATGGTCTTTTTCTCCTCAAGGGATGCCCATGTTAAGTATGTTACAGAATTTGTTGTTTCAAAATGATCACATATGTTAGACTTGGGGTAAGATTGGAAGCAAAGCCTGAAAGGGCCCTCCACACAGCCATATAACCCAAAATATCAAAACAGGAAATCCCACAATATCTGCTTTGAACTGGAATATATGGCAGCGTGGACTCAAATAACCCAGTTGAAAGCAGATATTGTGGGATTTTCTGCCTTGATATTTTGGGTTATATGGCTGTGTGGAAGGGCCCCAAATTACAAGCAGCATAAAAGCACAGTGCTGCTCATATGCACCTCTCCTTTCAATGGAACATATGTAGAAGACCTTGTTGTGACATTTATTAACTGAGCAGTACTAACTGCAGTTTATTATCGTGTGTATAAAACTGGCATAGGAAAAGTATGGAGATCTCCAACTTCAGCTATAATCTGTGGTTCTAGAAAAGAGACGTCTACATAAATAGTAATTTTGTTGAACTTAAGGGTATTGATTTGATAGTACTTGTTTATTTGGTTTATGTGATTTTTATTTATTTAAGACATTTTGTGTATTGCCTCACAATCAAGGGCCCTATTTTCATCTAGGGTGGCTTCCATTGCTTTTAGAGGACTATTAATGCAAGAGATCCTTATGAATGTATTATATTTATAGGGCATATATCCTCCAAGGAGATCAAGGCCCCAGATAGCCTCTTTATATTTACCAATACCTCTATCAGAGACTCTCTGAGGTAGGTTACTTGGAAAATTATTTGTTAGTAAATAGTTATCAGTAAGCTTTACAGTTGTGAATTTGACTTCTTCTCAATCTCATTCCTAATTAGTTAGGCCAAACATTGGTTGAAATCCAATATTTGGTTCCAACTAGAGTGGAGCTATTGAATCAACAGCTCCTTAATAAGTCAATACTTATGTGAATTCAGAGGATCTAATCAAGTTGGATAAGAACAGTATTGTCCATTTTCAGTGACCAGCCTATCACATCCATATTTGACAAAACCCCTATTTTAATGATAAACATAACAATAAAGATAAAACACAGCACATTCTTCCTATTAAAAATGATTCTTCATAATCCATTAATAATCAAATATTTAAATAAAAAGGTCTTTCTCCACTGTTTTAAGTATCTAATATTTTGAATTGCTATAAACACAGACTTTATGCATTAAAAATCAGTGTGGCAAACATTCACTTGAAGTTTTTCATTGCATTTGTTTTGATGAATCATGTGATAATTGTGTCATATTGCTATCAGCTTGAATTTGGAGTGAAACAAGCAAACAAGCAAATTTAGAAAATTCATTTGAAGTGACTTTGAAAAACCAAAATGGACACCATTTTTGATATATGTGTGAGATTCAGGTTATAGGAGGAGCTCCTGTTTAACTATAAATGCTATTCAAAGTAAGATAATCAATTAGTATATTCAACAATAGTGAAATGTTTGGCAATCCAGTTGAAAGGTATACCAAGATGGTATGACACTGCAGAGTGCTTGCCATTCAAAGCAGACAACAATGAACTAAATGGAGGAAGTTGAAGTCAGTAAACTTCTTGTGGTTAGTAAAAATGCGTAACATATTCTATGATTGAAATTGCAAACCAAAACAAATTTCCCTTTGAGGACTTCATCAAA